TGTGTGTGTGTGTGTGTGTGTGTGTGTGTGTGTGTGTGTGTGTGTGTATGTCTGTTAGGGGTTGAGATCACTGGATTCCTAGGATGACAGGAGAAAGGAGGGTGAAGCTGATGTTGAAGGAAAGATTTTGAGCATCAAGCAGCAAAGTCAAGAGGCTGAGAGCAGTGTGAGGTCACTGAAGGGACATTATTTCTTCAATCATGGTAGGTTAGAGGAACTCAAACACTCTTCCTGCCAGACTAAATGCCCTCCCAGAAGATTGATCAGTGCCTTCCCTATCTGCTTCTGTAGTTTGGTCAGGCAGGTTTTCTGACACCATTTAGGACTCTAGTGGCTCTTTCTTCTTAATCCTTCCATTGTGTACTATCATTAGCCAGCCTTCTGAGGAGTTGAAAGGGGCAGGGGTGGGGTGAGAAGGAATGAGGGCAATATCTCATCATCTTGCAGAGACAGACAGAGCACAACCCAGTAGCCTTTCAAAAGAGTGAATTGAATTAGTATATGGAGTCTTTGTTGCTGTTTTCATTGCTTACTTATTGTTCTTTAAATAATAATTACTTTGGGTCTGCCCTTGACCATCTCAGAGTCAACAGCCTTCTTTGTTAGCAATGGGGCAACACTGTTGTCCTCGGATGGTTTGCAACCTCAGCTCAGTCTGGAGGCCTCCACAGGTTTTAATGGAATTGGGTTTAGCAGAATTATGGGAATCCTTTCTGTTTGCTAACAGGAAGTGTGTACCCGCAGACCCATTTTATTCATTCTCACGATTAACCCCAAAGTGAATTGACGTCCCTCAAGGCAGTGGACTTTTCCTTTTCTGTGGCTCTCCCTGAGATCCACGACATTAAAAACGAAGACTTTGTTTTCCATGGACTAATGGAATAACACAATGTTTTCTACTATGTATTTGTGAAAAGCCAGTATTACCCACGAGAGAGCCCCTGGGAGGAGAGTCCAGAGAGGAGGGTGCACCAATCAACAGTGGGCTTTGCTTCATAGCGACATCCCTATTTCCTCCCCTGCTCACTTTCTGTATTAACCAATTTTTCTTCTGAGTCTCAAGTCACAAAAGAGAAATTTTAAAGATTCAAATGCCCTTAGCAGTAACAATGAAATATGCAACGTTAGTGCTATTCAAATTGTGGCATTTCTGCTCCCTAACGAAGAATTGTGCATGTATACTCAATAAATCTCAGATAAAAGAAGGAAAGGAAGGAAAAGAGGGGAGTGAGAAACAGAGGGAAAATGAAAGCACAGAAGAAAGAGAGATAGTTAGAAGTGTGAGCAACAATCTGGCCAGGGCTAAAGACGGGGTACAGAGGAGAAAGGACATTCCTTAATGTTTAGCTACTCTCTAAGCAAGGATTTATGTCTTTAAAATACTAAGACAGATTAACTGACCCTTACATATTTCCCTTAGATCCAGAGCAGTAAGTCTGTCATTCCTTATAAGTTACAGGTAAAACTTACAGAATGTAGCAAAATCGTGCTACATTTTATTCCAGGAAGAATACCCTGAATTTTACACTTCCTTCAAAAAGTAATAAAGTAGAGCTTGGAAAGAAGCTCACTCAGCAAAGTGCCTGGCATGCAGGCACAAACGCAATTCCCAGAAATCAAGGCAAAAGCAAGCACAGTGGGGCAGGATGTTCTTGTGACCCCAGATCTGTAGAAGTGGAGACAGGCAGAGCAATGCCCAGGGGTGACCTCTGGCTTTCACATGTGTGTATTAACACACATGAATACTTATATATTCACACACACACACACACACACACACACACACACACACGAGAAGGAAATACATGCATGGGAAATGCCTTGAACAATGGTCTGTGAACATTTATAACTGTGGAGGTGACTGTCCCCTCAGGTGTCAAATGAATGAATGATGTGGAATGACTTTTGGGGAACACTGATTTACCTGTTGACTGAAGTCTAAGAACTGTTTAAGAGCTGGTGGTAGGGCGTGGCCAGGGTACCATAGTACCTATCCCCCTCGTTTTCCCTCTTCTCCCTCTCTTCCACACTCCTTTCCCTGCTCCTCCACCCCGCTATCTCCTTCTGTCCTCCACCTTCCACTCTGCCCTATCCTCCCTTTTCTCTTCTTTCTTCTTCTTCTTCTTCTTCTTCTTCTTCCACTTTCTTCTCCACATTCTCATGTCCCTACTTTCATTTTTCATGAGTTCTTGAATAATTGATGGTGCTAAATTTCATGCAAACCACCTGCTTATCATGTCTAAGAATTCCAAAATTTCTAGGAAAGCTTACTTTCTCAAGGTAACAATACTTGGTCATAAGAAATAGTATAAATGGGAAGGGATATCTCTCCACACTCCTCACTCCCTACTTTCCAGGAACTCTATCTGGGATCAGCAATCTAAAATCAGTGTGTATTGTATACTAGGAAGCGACAAGCTTGGTTCCAGGGTAAGTAGGTGAAGAGCATGTGATCTTAATGGAGGCCTCATCTGTGGTACTCTCTTGAAAGAGCATCCAAAAATCCACGTAACATAGGGAACATTCATGTACGCTTTCAGGATAATCTCCTTAACAAGACTCCTAATTTTCTTTCACAAGACTGAGCATGCATTACCTGGAAATTTAGCATTTGGAGTTTTGTATTGGTGCAATTAAGATCAGGAGCAAAATCTTATTTTCAGGAAGTGAATACATGACTCCACTGCTTGAGAAGAGCTTATTCCACACCATTCTGCATGGCCTGGGCTGTGTAAAACATGGGGACTAGTTCTCTGAGCGTCTAAGATGTCTCAGAGACACTGCAAATTCCACGAAACAGACACAAGACTCTATAGAGTGTGTATAAGAGGTTGCGTAGTTCATCGAGTACCTGGGTCCTAATTCATCTTCACACCGCCAGGTGAACTCCCCAAAACTTTCATAGTGTTGATTATAGTGGTAGAGGACTCGATGCAATGTGGGGGAACCCAGATCCAGAAGGGTGTTGTAGGCAGTCTGCTGCTCCTTCCCGCTGGTGTAGCCATTGAAGAGATTGTAGATCTTGTCTGCTATTTCTGAGGAAGGAAGAAACAGCAAGTCCAGTTGTGCTTTGAGAAACACATTGGAGTGTGCAGAGGAATTTTAATTCAGAACACAACACAGACGCTCTAGAAAAAGATCACATCCAAAGACCTTATTGGTGTGTGTGATCCAGCTGGAATACAGACACACCTTTGGTCCCAGGAGACAGAAGGAAGCAGACCTCTGAATTCAAGGCCAGCCTGGTATAGAACAAGTTTCAGGTAAAGAAAAGCTTAGGTCTAGGCTTGGTGGTAACACCCTTAATCCCAGCACCTAGAAGACAGAGGCATGCAACTCTAGTTCTTTGCAGAAAGTTTGGTTGAGTTGGTGAATTCAGAGGCAATGTAGTGGTGCTGAGTTTGTGGCAGTTCAGTTCAGAGAATTCAGGTTTACTGGGAGAGTTTTACAGTGACAGGTTGAAGAGAGAACAAGCTAGACATAGGAATAGAGTGAATGAGTCAGAGAATGAAGAGCCAAAAGATTAGAACAGATTTCAAGAGTTAGTTTGAAACCAGGCAGAGCAATTCAGAGGCCAAGAGAGAAGCCAGATTGAACCTGTCATTTTGAAGAGAAGTTTGAGCCGGAACACCTGAGTTGAACCAGCCTGCCATAGCATAGAAAAAACTAGAAAGGGTGAGCTTATTCAGCAGCAAATCTCAGAGGCTGAACATTCTAGGCCTAGATTAGATTGTGTGGAGGCTTGGAGCTTCCTGGCCAAGGGCTATATTGGCAGACAGGGGCAGTAAGCTTCGGAGACAACAATTATGTCAGGCAATTCAAAGTTCCTTTTAAAAGAGTGCACTAACACAAACCTAGATGATGCGGGCTCCTGACATATAAGGCGTGTGAGATACAAGGATAACATGTTTTTCCTAGAACCGTGATGAACGCCACAGACTAAGACAAGAACAAGAGCGAGGACTCAGTCAAGAGACGTGGCAGGGAGAAGAGGACGAGGCTGCAGACGCTGTGAAACAGGGTCCTGTTTACAACACGGTATATTATAGGTAGAGCACAGTTTGAAATAGGTGCAGGAAAGTAAATACACAAATCAATAACTGTTGCTTGTTATCGTGTTATTAAAGGCACACAGATGTGTGAGTTACACGGATGGCAACACGGTAGATGTGTTTACATCAGGGTCACGAGCCTGTGAGAATGCGCTCTGCCTTAACATCGCGATTGCTACAGCATCGCTGCGCACAGGAAGTCTGCAGCTCCGTTACACTCGCATGGGATCACTGTGGCATATGTAGTAAATATGATCTATTGCTGATCAAATTATCATCACATAGCACTCAGCCATACGTGTGTGTATGCACACCTATTTATATGTGCCAAGAAATAAATACTTACTTATGTGCGCATGATGTTATTTTAAAACACTGTCGCTGAGGTGTGAGGGTGATTGGTGTATTTCCCTCTACCTCTGTGCCACTGTGTTTCAGTTTTCTCTTTAATAAATAAAATGCCTTTGACTAATACACCTCTAAGGTCGATTTCAGCTGCGATACTTTTTGTCTTTCCAAGGTTTACGAAAAAATACATAACCCGAGGCAAAAGCTCATATATTCGTGCTTGAATGGAAAGTGAATTCCCAGAGAACTAGGGCTGGGGATAAAGACCAATGAGGCAAGAAATGAGAATAAATATAAAGGATTATATTAGGAACCTGAAACACCTTCATGAGAACTGGGATGGTACATTTTGCAGGAGAGGATATATAAAGTTCCTGCATCACAACTGGGCCATGCAGTGGGAGAAACAAAGATTTTATTTATGTTCAGCTCCCACTAAAGATTGGTCCATGTTTGCTCCCATGACACACTGACAACCTTATACGGGTAGGTAGCATTTACCTGGCTACTAAGTGGTCCTCTGAAAAGCATCAGAGAAGCCCAAGGCCACCGGGGGCAGAGATGAAGTGAAGCACCACCAGGTAATACCTCTGAGCCATGAGAAAAATCTGGAGAGGTGATGACTTTGGAAAACAGAACCATGTAGGCCCGATGTAAAGGTAAGCATGGTAATCTGTGTATATCCAGAAACTGAAGCCAGAATTTTATGTAATCCCAAATGAGTAATCATTCAGTTTAATTTGTATCTGTGATGTTTCTGCCTCAAAGGTTTCCATGGCTAAGACTGAGTTTGGTGACATGGTAAAGCAGTAACAGTTTTGTGTGGCCTTCCATTTTTTTCCTTTCATTTCATAACTCAAGGAATGTTATCACTATATGTTACTATCATTGTAACTATCAAAAAAGAGATGCTTTTGCATGGTCTCCTAAACATCTGGGAGCTAAGGTCCAGTAAGCAGGTTGAGCAATGAGTTCCCTTGGATGTGTTAATTCTGGGGATGAAAGAACTCAGTTCTTAGGCAGGAGAGTCAGAAGTGTGCCTACTTGACCTCTTTCATTGGTCAACCATAGCATGAGAGTCCTGTGCTAATGCCAAAGTGAATTTAGGGATATTGGTAAACGATAGATCAACCCAAGGATTTGTGGGGAGAATGCATAGAACTTCGACCTATTGTCGGCCTCCACATCACACAGGTTGTTGTGGTGACAGGAGTCATGCCTTACTTTCTTGGGATCCTCAGATAAAACAGCTAACCAGCAATCGTTAGCTGAGTGAATAGCTCTCTTAACTTTGAGTGTAGCTTGAGTCCCTTTTCTAGCAGGGGTTCTAAGTGATCCCTCTCCAAGCTGGTTAACACTGACTCTAGAAACAAAAAGTACACACAACACATTTGGTTGCAGTGCGTATGGCTTTCCTTCTGAAGCACATTTAGGTTTTTAGGTTGTTAAAATTCTCAGATAGCTAAAATGAGGGTTTTGTTTGCTTGTTTGTTTGTTTGTTTGTTTGTTTAGAAAAAGAAGACAATTTAGAAACTGAAGTCCCATGATATCTCTAGTCATTATTAAAGTTTTTTTTCATTTAATAAGCTAATAACTTTACATCCAAACATCCCTCTCTGCAGATATATGCATATCTCTCCTTGACAAATGAGATTAAGAGACAGACAAGGCTACCAACACAAGGTCACATAGTTAGCGTGGGCTGCTCTGAAGGTTCTAAACTGTTTGCCATTGCCCCTTTGCATTGATGCTCAGTCACTGGCTGCATTTAAATAGTTTATGGTGTAAGAGGCAGAATCTTGGGATTCTAGCTCCAATACTGGGGGCCTATCTTTTCTGGAGTTAGGACAGGAAGACAGAGGGTCAGTTTTGAGGTCTGGTTTGTACTGATTTTGGCAGGCAGAGGGTGTTTTGCTGAGACAAGAATGGCCAGGGAAGAAAAACCATTGGTGCGCAGACTGCAGCTTAGAATTCCTCTCTGACTGATTCACTGATGCCAAATCATGTTTCTTGCAATGAGAGATAATGTGTCAGATTCCAGGTTCTACTTGTAGTGGTATCTGTTGAGAAATGGTCATGGCAGAGCTGTTGATTCTTGGTGCATACTCTGCTACATGACAGTCGGTTTTAGCTGACCAAGCCAACATCTGCATCCTGTGGGCAAAACCAAGTTCCACCCCAAATCTGCTAAAACCAAGATAATCTAACTGAAGGGTACGATTACAAGCCTGTCAATAAACGGAATCTTCTATTCAGAAAAACCTGTGCTTCGGCTCTGAGAGCATGACCATATCTGGCTCCTCCTATCTCTACTGAGAGAACTGAGGCTTCTTGCTTCATTAGCTTTTAGAGCTTCCCAAGAATGCACCAGCTCAGAGGAAGAAGGTATTTTAAATGATTATTTTTACATAGCTTTGATCTCCACAGAAGTCTTTTGTTACCCACAACAAACTCAAGTCCTCCCTCTCTTTTATAAACTTGAGTTAGGAACAAGTGAAGTGCAGGTGAAAAGATGGCAAGGAGCCTGTCAACGTAGCCAAAACTGGGAGGCTGAGTTAGTAGAAGAGATCAGAGATCTCTCAGAAGATGGGGTAAATTAACAAGGCTGGACTGAAGCCATTGGACTCAAAGGTATGGCTAAGAGCAGGAATCAGAGTTTCAGATAGACTCAGGCTCTTGTGTATTGGCCTTGAACACATTATTTAACTCTTTGGGTCTTAGTTTTCCTGTCCGTCTAATAATGGTTAGTCACATGCACTTGTCAAGATTACATGAGAATAAAAGTTTTATTCAATGCAAATCTTTAATTCAGTACAATATCTGCCCCTGGTAACTTTATACTTATTCATCGATGTAATACAATGCTTAATGGCTCCTGAAACGTGTCTATGCTTGGGCACCACATCACTGAGAGAAACTGACAGAAATCCTCATTTGCGTTTGCAGTGTAGTGATGGGAGATAGTCAAGTGAGCAATGAAACACTTTTTGTTTTGTTCTGTTTTAAGACAACGTCTTGGCTGTTCTGGACTAACTTTGTAGACCAGGCTGACCTCAAACTCACAGCAATCCACCTGGCTCTGCCTCCGTGGGTGCTGGGATTACAGGCGTATGCTGCACCTGGCAGGTAAATTTTCTTATTCCCCTGTAATTGCTGCTTTTTTTTTTTTTTTTAAATCTCAGTCAGGAACAGCTATAAACATCTGCAGCTTTCCTTGATGATCTAGACAGGAGATCCTAATTCATCACTTAGTATTTCTCAGGATCCACCTACAACCTCAGCCCCACACAAGGTGAACCATGTCAACTGGCCTGGTATCTTTGTCTTACCCATACGACAAGGTCCCTTTTTCTCCCTCCAGCTCTGGATATGCTTCCCCTGAGATGCCCTGTGCTCACACCATTATCATCAATTCTCACCTGAGGAACATCAACATTACATACACAGCTACTGTTTCCCACTGGAGTGTCCGATTTGAGCCTGAGAACATCCATTTCTGACAAGCTCCCGGGTAATGCGGATACCGTCAATCTAGGTACCTCATTTTTAAGACCATTGCTACACACTAACCCATTCTCTCAAACTTCTTATTATTTTTCTCTGGGGCCAAAGATATCACAGGCAACAACTTTCCCTTTGTCACTGACTCGGGTACACACTCTCCCTTCCCTCCTTATCTTTTTGCTTTCTGAAACATTCTCTGGGACATATGGGTCCTTCTTCCATGTCCTTGAAGAGAATGGTTCTTAGCCCCACACAGCCAACCTGAAGCTATTCCTCCCTCCTATATATTTTCAGATACCTTCATTTTTCAAAACTCTCCTGGTTTACATTTCCTCCCTCTCATTCCCTGACCACTCCCTTATATCCACAAAGAACCTTGCTTCTGGTTCACCTCTGGGCCACTTCCAAGGTGAGCTGTTTTGCCCCTTGTGTAAGAGGCCTCTTTAAGACATCCAGCTGCCAATTACTGTCCCTGTCCTTTTCTACCTGAGATCCACAGAGACTAACATTAGCTTTCTTTTCTTATTGCCTTCTACCACCTCTCTGCATGCCCATGCTTCTGGAAATTTGCAGGGCAAAAATCAAACATCATTTAAACAGATAAGACCAATGTGACTCTTCCTTCTCCCATGCTCCACATCTAGCCTACTGGCCAATAAATCCTTTGGGTTCTTTCATCAGCACATTGCAGATCAGATCACCTATTAAAAACTGTCTGATCACTTCCCTGGTGTTAACATCAGCTTGTCTCCTATCTGTTGCCATAGCCTTCCAGTTCCACTTTAGAGTGTTCTTCTTGGTCTGTTTTCACCACAGCAGTAAGAACAACCTCTAAAACATAGAGTCTACTCTGACACTTTTCTGTCCCAAGTCCTCAGGAACATCCCATCACAATCCCAGATACAGTCACTTTCTAGCAATGACTAGGCCTCACTAAATCTGTCTAGAGCCCCTGGGAACTCCTACCTATCAGGACCTTCCATGTCTTTCCACAAATGTGACCCAAGAGTCACAAGCCTTCTTTGTCGTCTTCCAACATTCTAAAGCCCAATCCTGATTCCTTTTTGAAAGGATCTTTGCAAAGATATTTGGTGGCTTCCTCCCTCATTTACTTTCCCAAATTCTAGCTTCTGTTCTTCCTCTACCATGTCACATTTATTATCTCTATGACAGGCATCGTTACTTGGAATATGCATTTTATTATTTGGTTACTGTTGCACATTGCCTCTACTGATATAGTTATTTAGGTATTGTATTTTTGCTCCTGGTGCCTAGAACATATATTCAATGAGAACTAAATATTTGTTGGATGATTGATAAATCCATAAAATTGATTACATGATTCTTGAAAATTGATTCTGATTCCAATACTAGACACCAGGAGCAAAAACACATCTGTGGGAGAATCAGATAAATGAATGGATGCAATTGTGTGGCATCAAAAATGCTAAGGGAACAAAGGTTAAGAAATAGCTAGCCTTCTTTTAATGAGATTCTATGGGGGACTTTCAGGATGTCTCAACTCAGCCTTCATACTAGACAACAAGCTTTGTCTTATTACTAATACATGTTTGCTTCAGCTCCAGGAGGCTGGTTTCAGTAAAATGGCAGTAAAAACATACCTGCACAGTGGCTTGAGTGCTATGATGTGGTAAAATGGACAGTATCTAGCTTATCTTTGGATAAATGTTCGCATGAGGGATCGCGTTCACATGAGGGAGCTGACGGCATACTTCAGGTCAAATTCCTATTTGTCCTTAGATTTAAGCTCAGACCCAAGTGAGTTTTATATTTATGAGCACCATCTGGGTGTGAGGGAGGCAAAGCATATGGGGTTTTTCTTTGGTAGAACTGTATTAATTTGCAAGGATGCCCTCAATTAGTCTAACTCATTAATCTCCAGACTTGCTCTGTGCAGGGTGCCTTCCTGGCTGAAGGATAACAGGCCCTGGGATTGTCATGCTGTTCTCTCAACACCAAATTGTCTTCCTGTGCTCCCACTTTCCTTGTCTGGAAGCGGAAGCAGATAGAGAGTCCACTCAAACATCCTGTGCTAGAACTGGACAGACAGGACCCCTCCAGAGAAAGAGCTGCTCTGTACCATGGGTCCTGTAGCAAGCACCAGGCTGCATCATGTCTCTGATAATCTCCTTGATGTTTCTTCTTAGCTGGAAGCTCTATGGTAGCCACTGCTTTTCCACAGATTCCATTAAACACCAAACAGAAAGACACCTTCACAGTGAGTGAGGGTACCATGAATACCCCCCCAGACAGTCTCATCTCAAGGTGTGCGAACCAGACTATCTTTCTCACCATGAAGCTTCAGAGACCTTCATGGCTCAGATCCTGTAAACCAGCTCCTCTCCTGCTAGGGAGAAGCACCCATGCCTCCTGCTTGTGGGTACCTGTTCTTGTCTCAGTGGACATGGCCCAAAATGGGAGAATCTTGTTATCTTTTTTTGCAGCAGCTCTTTTTGTCACCAGTTTGCAGATACAGTGACCTGTTGAGTCTTTTGCCTAATAACACTCCCAATTTGTCACAGTAACATTATAAAAATAAATGGGAATTGTGGTCAGATATGGGCTACAAGTGTGGGATCCATTAGGTTCTTGGTATCCTCGGGCACCTTATTTACTTTACTCTGAATTTCATTTTTTTTCATACGTAAAATAAGGGCATTGTTGTATTTACTGCTTTATGTATAAACTACTGAGTTTTTATCAGAAGGTAGGCTTTATGCTTGGTTACTAGTAACTGTGATTACTAGTAACTAGTTACTAGTTACTGTGATTACTAGTAACTAGTTACTAGTTACTGTGATTACTAGTAACTAGTTACTAGTTACTAGTAACTGTTCTTAAACAACCTGTTAGTTGAGCGTACTGCCTTCTAGCTATTAAGGACACACAACACAGAAAAAGAGACTTGACTCATACTGCCATGACACTGACTTGGCTGGTGCTGTCCAAAGACTGAACACATCATTATAAAAAAAAATGAAAGAAATATCTTAAGGTCAGTACTGTGAGGACACCTAACACTGGTTCTTGTCCTCCTCTATGAGGAATGGACACTTGAGCTGAGTTTTCATGCTGAGATGAGTTACTCATTTGGAAGGTACAGAACATTTGAAGTAATGGAACCTAACATATGCAACGACCCTGTAACAGAAGTGAAACCAGTGTGAGAGGAATTGAGGAAAGCAAGAGACATGGGATAAAGAGATCGATGAGGCAGTAGAGAGTTGGCAAGTAAGTAGGTGCTGAAGAAGTAGAAAGGGTCACCCATTAGGTCCCAATGGCCTGTTAAATATTTATGCCATAAGAAGAATGAAAATCTATGAGTGTATTTATATCAGAAAGTGTTTCATTATGGTCAAATGGCTTTGAAAATACTGTAGCCACCGCATGCCAATAGGATTAGCTATGAGAATACTTTCCAAGGTTGTACAATATTAAAATAGCAGTGGTTTTAGTTAAAGAGCTAGGTAGGCAACTCATTTTGGGTATCCATTCCTGCTGCAGGAAGCCGTCTTTTCACTTTCCAACAAAACCCTGACTGCTCGCTCTTCAAAAAATAGACAAATGAAAAGTAGTCTAGATCACTTTCCCTAAATGATTTTCATCATTGGGGTGTCACCCTGCAACATTCCGGGACCATGTCCCTCTTGGTTAAGACGATAGGTACAGAGGCAAGAACTATACATAAGGTAATGAGATGCATCAGAACGTTAGCTTAGCCATGGTCCATCCCTGACAGGAGTCTGCAGAACCAAAGTGCTCAATGTCTTTGTTAATAAAAAGGCTTGGATTTCAGTTCTTCCTAGAACTGAAGTGGTGGCTGTCGGTGGCTTACAGTGTCACTGTAATTGGTGCTGAAGTCCAGTCGAAGGGCTAAGCAGAACTAAAGAACTCTGGCCTCAGAGATGTGAAAGCTATAGAGCAGGGTATGATGTCAAGTCCAGCTAGGGAGCATCTCTCGTGACAGATGATGACTGAGGAAAAACTTCCTGGTGCAGCAGGACTGCTGCCAGCGAGGGAGCTTACACCAAATACACTGAAGAAGTGGCATGTAATAACTCCAAAGTAGAGAGGATTCAGCTGCACTGAAGGGGGGCCTGAGTAACTGCTCAATTTCAAATCTACAGCCTTGAATGCTTTAGTTAGAAACAAACTTTCAGGTGTACAAATTCCCAGGAAGAGCAAGTGATCCATCCATGACCTGAGGGCAGAGAAGATGGGTACTTTTGCATGGACCTAAGCATCTGATTACCTATGAACTTTATCAAAGTCTGCTTTTGGCGCCTACCTTGTAGACTGTATGGGATAACGGAGTACAGGGAGAACTTCTGCCAGAGTACAGAGTACAGCAGTACTGAGAGAAAGCCCAAGGTTCTACCTTGAGCCTGAGTTCTTCCTTCCTGCCACACTCGGTCATTCGGTTTACTCCTCTGGTTACTGGTTCCTTAGGGTGGCGAGGGTAGATGGTTAGACAGTCATCTATATTGATAACTTCAGTGGCTCTTACCTTGAGCTTTGACATCATCCACCACAGGACATGGGGTCTTCACAATCACATCACTCGGCCTGGAGCGTCGCCCTGTGTTGTCTACTCCCCAGAGGGTGAACCTGGCAGAGAGGTAGAAGTGTAGCATTACTAGAGGGAACATGTCTAGGGGCTGGGGTTGAGCAGCGTCCCCTGGAGGCCCAGCTTTGTCAGAATAGGGCAGGACCCTGACTGCTCAATCTTATACTTAACTGCCAGCACTCTGGTTAGAAATGTGGACATAGGAGAAAAGAAGCAACAGGACAGGAGCCTACCACAGAGGGCCTCTGAAAGATTCTACCTAGCAGTGTATCAAAGCAGATACTAAGACTCATAACCAAACCTTCGGCAGAGTGCAGGGAATCATATGAAAGAAGGGGGAGTTAGTATGACATGGAAAGGATAGGAGCTCCACAAGGACCAAATATATCTGGGCACAGGGGTCTTTTCTGAGACTGATACCAAGGACCATGTATGAATATAACCTAGAACCTCTGCTCGGATGTAGCCCGTGGTAGATCAGTAACCAATTGGTTTTCCCTAGTAAGGGGAACAGGGACTATCTCTGACAGGAACTTAATGGCAGGCTCTTTGACCTCCGCACCCCCTAAGGGAAGAGCAGTCCTGCTAGGCCACAGAGGAGGACTTTGCAGCCAGTCCAGAAGATACCTGATAAAACAGGGTCAGATGAAAGGGGAGGACCTCCTCCCCAATCAGTGGACTTGGAAAGGGGCAGGGAAGAGATGAGAGAGGGAGGGTGGGATTGGGAGGGAATGAGGGAGCAGGATACAGCTGGGATACAGAGTTAATAAAATGTAACTAATAATAAAAATAAAAAAAAGAAATGAGTGACATGAAGCCTCTGACTGCTTCCTGTGGGCTGTGGTTGGGACATGTGGGCTTGAATGCTGTCTGATTGGAAACATCGCAGCGAAGGACACTTCATTTTCACCAGAACTCCCAGGCACCACTGCTGAAAATTCTCAGGCCTAGTTTAGACCTGCTAGAAACCCATGTTTTACCACGCCTTGAGACATCTAGGTGACTCACTTTCTTTTTTCTTTAGTTTCTGTTACATGTATGTATGTATATATATGTGTATACATGACAAAAGGCTCACTATGTTGCTCAATCTTAAGGAAGTAATTCATGGCCTCAAATGATCATGTCTCAGCCAAGACACAGCACCTAGCTGCCTGCCAGCTGGTTACGCGGACGCCATTTTTATGTCGGCAACCACTCCATGGGAGAAAGAGCAGATGTCTTTGGAAATGGACGGCTAGAACTTGGATCTAAGGCCATCTTGAGTTACAGTAACCCCTGTGCACTCACCTCTCCTTTTCCCATGGTCACAAGCCACCGTGAGAATAAAAGGTGGTGGTGTACACAAAGCCATGAGCTATCACACCACAATGCCCTAGTTCTGCGCTGTTCCATGCCGCCCTGTGCTCCGCTTACAACTTTATGCAAAGACTGAGGAGAAATCCATTGTAGCCAGAGCAAAGGGCCCCCTGGCCTGTGCACAGTTGGACACGCCATCTCCCTTATGCAGCTTCCCCTGTTCCAGTCTATTCCTCTGTTTCCACGGAGACCTGGGAATCTGGAGGAAAGTGCTACAGTCCAGTGTAGAAAACACTAGGCCCAAGGAACTAACACTGGCTGATGAAACTGATAGAGTAAGGAGAGATTCCAGGGACCTAGCTGTGAAAATAAGCCCGGCATCAGCCCAGGGCATTTGACAACTAACCAAGCCACCCTGAAGGACGTCACTACCACCTTCCTGCCCCCTTTCTTTGTGCTGCATTACCACAGGAAGCTGTGTTTACTGGAAAACATGATTATTTTTTTCTTTTTGTTGGTTGTTGTTGTTCCTCTTGGCAAAGTTACAGGAAGGGAAAAGAGCAAGGGGTCAGGGAAAGAAAGGTGGCCCAGGTAAATCAGGTAAATGCTAGCTGGGCCTTAGACGCCTGAACCTATGAAATAGAAAAAATGAACACTAACTACCCAATGATTCTTCCAAGAAATGTGTTCACCGGACAGAGAACCTCATGCCCACTGTTCCTTCCTCACAAAGAAACACAGAGGACAGTCGGAGCAAAGACCTGAATGCTGAGAGATGCCATGTGCCCTCTTCTTCTCCCCTCAACCTCACATTAATGCAATGGAAATCTCACATGGGAAGGCTCCGCTGTATCAGGACCCCAACTCTGGTAAGACCTAAAATGTGATGGCCCGCTGAGATCCAAAAGGCATGGGCCAAGTCGTAGCTGTTGAGTGCCTAAGGGGCTCTCTCAGCTGTTAGGTCAGGGCCAAGCATTCGGCTTTCTTTCTATCAGCAGAGAGGGGTCACACCACCCCAACCATGTTTGCCTTATGCTCTGTCCCTAAGCCCTACCCAGTGGCCTTCCCAGGTAGCGCCACCAGCAGTGGCCATTCCCCACCACAGGTACCCAGATTCTGAACCGTGCATCTTGCCATCCTTCCCCAGCCACACCTTCCTGGAGAGACACTGGGGCTACACTGACGCCCCTTGTCCCCACTCCAGCCCTGGCAGCATGAGCTATCCTCTCGCTTGATCCCATGTACTTCATCAGCTTCTTGGCCCTGTTCCTAGAATTGGTCCTCAGACCCTCAAACCTGTAGCTGGCACACCTGACCTTTGGGAACCAGCTCCATTTCTGAGTCCAATTTGTTAAGCCAGTCTTAGAGCATGCTCAGCCAGGGGTCCATGATGCCACGGGATACTCCCATGCAGACTTCCACCTGCGTGACTTCCATGCCAAACCATGTTCTCTGTCAACCTCCCAACAGTCCGTGAAGCAGGAAATCCCTGGGGTTCAGTATGGAACAAATCTATACTTGGGGAATCTGAGGCACTTTTACGGGAAGTGGAATGTGTTTTTCTTCTGCTTGGGCTCCAAGGTTTGGTGATCGCTGAAGTCCCCATTAGCTCTAGAAGCTGTTCCCAGAAGAGCCAGGAGATACAAAACCCTGACCTTTGCAGACAGATACCCCAGGCTGGCATGGGCCTGGTCTTGGGTTGCAAGCCTATCCTTGTTGCCCCCTGTGTTCACAGGTAGCAGATTTTCTTCCACCAGCCCTGTGACTCCAGGCACTGTCGCCTTCCAGGAAGCTGAAGGCGTCAACCTCAACTCCTATGTCTGGAGCCCCTGTTTGCAGCCCATCATAATCTAATCCTGCACTATTAACTCTTAAGTTTCCCTGGACTAGGACACCCTAGTCTTTGGGTACCAAACTGGCTGCCAGGTGGAGCCTGTCTTTCAGGGCCTGGGATGGAGTCAGCCTCCAGCTAGTCCACACTCCAGGAAGCTCTGCTTTCTCCCTGGTCTTGGTATAAGTTCAGGCTACCTTGTGTCAGATCTTGAGCTATGACAAGACAAGGATGCCTCCGTCTGCATTAAGTCTCACATACTCTGAAGGGTGGTTAGAATAAAATGCAAGCTGAAATAATCTCTGACTAGTTAACAGCACATTTCATTTTTAATATAAGGCAGATATTAGGAAAGGAAATGCCTCACACAGCCTTCCAAGTACAGACAGAGCTTGACCTTAAGAACTGTTCCTCAGCAGTCCCAGCCTCCCCCCACACCACCCCCGCCGCCCCCGCCCCAGACACTGAGAGACAGCCAGGGTATTTGACTACTAAATGCTGGGGGAGGGGGAAGGGACACTTTCTTTATTTTCATGTGGAAATGCCACGTGCTGTCATTTCAGGAAGGCCTTCTCTGCTTGTTGTTAGCATTTTCTTCCTGCCACAGCACTCTCCTCAGACAGCAAGAGGGTTAGCTGGAATTACTGACAGAGGAGATAAGCCTCGCTCCAGATCCAGAGGGCTCATGTCTAAGTCCGTTTATTGCTTCTTCCAAAGCTTCTGGGCTTCTTCCCCAGCCACAGGCTGGGACCTCTCAGTGCGTAGTTAGCAACGTGGTGATGACACGGTGGAGGCATGTGTGCGTGGGAACTGACACAGGCTGGCTCTGGCCCCAGGACTGCGCTCTAAAGGTCTGGAGCCTAACGCTAAGGAAGATCATAAGCCTGTCGGGGGCTGGCTGTAGGGCTGGCTGCGTCACCTGATGCTTTCTTGTTTTCCTCCTGCCAGCCTGGTGACTTTTGCTGATCCCGTGACTCAGACACCTTTTTCTATCACCTCAGAGATGTGCTCAGAAATGGAGGGGCTCTCCCACAGGTGTTGTGGTGAGAGGGTCATGGGAAAGGGTGGTATTCTCCTCCCCACTCTAAAATGAAGATGTTGGATCCGGAACACTTTACAGAGTTCTTTACTGTGTTTGTGTCATGTGGTCCACCCTCAGAATGCTTCTCTAGTGCATTCGGTGAAACATCTGACAAAGAAAGCTAGCTGAAACACAGACGTAACATCTTAATCTCCATTGAAGACCAGCCTTTGCTTTAGAATGCCGGAGGATGTGTCCGGATCCTGCCAGAATAACCTGGGATGACCTGGAAGTAAGGTCCAGTATGTGGAAAAGAACAAACGCCGCTTCAGCTCCTAGCCATTTTTTTTTTTTTTTTTACAGCCCTAGCTGTATGATTCTGGGGAAGTTATTCGAGTCTAAGGAAGCTCAGTTTCTTCAGCTATAAAATGGGGACAAGTACAGTCACACAGGGCCAAATAGCCATAAACGATGGCTACCTTCCTCCTAATTTATAAGTAAGGAAACTCAGGTGCAGAAAAACTAAGGGTCCTATTTAAAGTCACTTTATGGTTAGACACAAAACCAGGCTAAGCAGGCTGTTCTCTTTGCACCAGGGTTAAAAACACAAATAACCCTTATACCTCAACAGAGAGGGGTGTTTCTAAGCCCAGGTCACCATTTTCTCACACGGTGGGTCTTATGTTCAGGCCATCCCTCGTTAGTCTGCCAGGACCTGGGAACATCTTCTCTCCATGCTAAGGCAAGAAGAGCCTGTCACAGAGGGTTTGGAAGTGACATCTGAGTGTCAGCTAGCTTTTCCAGCAATCTGCAGCGCCACCTAGTGGACACCGGCTGTCCTTTAGCCTGGCAGGCGTCTCCCACTTCTGTAATCAACATTGACAGGAAGTAGGGGATTTACAAAACATAGGAAGTGAACACCAGAAGATCACCAAGGATGCCAAATGTGGGAGAGGATCTTCACCTTACGCCTTTGACCAGGAAACAAAGCCTCATCAGGCCAACACAGAGAAGGTTCTAGACTTGGTAATGGCCTTTCTGAAGGAGCTGGGCCCACCTTTTGCTCCTCGAGAACTTCTAACCTCTGTGCCCTTTTTATAAATGATCATATGAGTCCCGTTGATTTAGAGACTTTTTTTTTTTAAGCGGATTGATGATCTTCAGTCCCAGATCTGTGTTCCTTCGAATTGAGCCCTTCCTTTGACCACAGCTATCCAATATCAAGAGAACTGTTACGTATTATGACATCCTTGCCCTGGAAGCAGACAGATGTCTCTGCTGTTGGCATTGTCATCCTTGTGTGTACATCCATCCCAGAATCTCATCACTTGTCTTTATCTATTTCACTTGCATCCTGAACATCCCTAAGTAATACCTCCTATTTCTATATGGAAGATACGCAGCTGAATCTCTAAGCTCGTCAGAATCAACGACACTCAGATTTCTAGTGCTTTCTGTCTTTGAACTCCTTAAGAGAGGAAGTGGAGATGATTTATTCTGGAAACCTTGACTCTATGCCTGTGACCTCATCTGTAAACTGTTAGATGTTTTTCATACTGATGGGGTCAAAAAGCTTCCAAACTGAATCATTATGAATTCTGCGTTAGACCCTGAATTTTTCCATCATGACTTAGATTCTATCACCATATCTCCTCTTTTGGCATCTTTTATGTCTCTGCTCACAAATATTTTACAGTTGTTCCCAGAGAACAGGAAGGGATGGGAAGAGTTCACAGAGAACATAGGGATGTTCCAAGCATGGTGATATAATTCACTATATTTTCTTTGAAGAAAAATGCTGACCAGTTCTAAATGCTATAAATTATTTCAGAGCCACTAGAGATGACTTTCTAAAGCACAGTTCTTGGCATTGTCCTCCTTCCTAATAAAAAAATAAAAAAAACCTTTTTTTTTTTTCTCTGACAAACAGCGTTCACTCTAGTCTCCCAGGTTCATTTTCCTCCACTGCTTTATTTACCGTCTGCTTTAGACCTCTTGACCACTGCTTCCCTTCATGTCTCTCTACCTTTGCTCTGGGGGGAGGGGGTTCTTACCTTGCATCACAGTAGCTATTGAATTCTATACAATCTGTTATATACTCTATTTAGAATTAATCACTTTCCCTTTTTTTTTCCCAGCATGTCCCTGGCCTTTCTAATTAACATGTATTCCATTCTGTCTGTCTGTCTGTCTATCTATCTATCTATCTATCTATCTATCTATCTATCTATCTATCTCCTCTGCATATTGTAAACTCTTTTATGACAAGACTTCTCCCAGAAGTTTCTCCACAATGCCTATTGAGACATAACTGCAGAGACAAAAAAAAAAAAAAAATCTCTGAAAGTCTCTGAAGGAACTTGGGAAACAAAAGGGAGCCAGCAAAGACCCTGGAACTTTCTGGGTAAGAAATCATTAAGGTGTGTACTACTTACATGTAGATGGTATCAGGTTCCAGGCATCGGATGATGAGAGAAATTGTGGTGAGCTGCTTGTCTGGCACCTGAGATGGCATGGCACATGGGGCCTTTGCTCCAGAGATGATATCATCTACAAAGCTCAGTACTGTTTCTGCACAAAGGAAAAAGAATGGGAGAAGCATGAGAACAGTGATGTCTGTACAATGGGCAACGCGATTGAGAACTTGCCAAAACTTCTTAATTTGTAGTGGAGAAAGGAGCCCTGGGAGGAGATCATTTTTGCTAATGGTTTCTCTGTCAGCCAAAGAGCTGAGAGCCGTTTGTCCAGCATTAGCTCAAGGACTACTAAGGAAAAATGCATAGGCCACACTTGCAAAATTTTCCATGAAACACCTTGAAATTTATAGAGAACAGTTGTGCTAGTCCTGGGAGCCTAACATACCTACATACCAAGAAACAGCCTCAGAAACAGCAGTGGAGAGCTCTCCATGCCCCAAAGATGTTTCTCCAAACCACATCACCATGGACCTTCACTAGAAGTTCTTAGATTATGGGCCTCCTCATTCTCAACAAAGACCATATTTTATGTGAAAGTCTTAGGATTACTTATGCTGGCTTTTCTCTATGTGTTGGTAGTCGACTCGTAAGGCATGGGACTTTTATTTCTGTGGGTTATTTCTACTCGTGGAAGGCTTCCCTTTTCTCTCAGGACTTGACAAAAGTCAGTTTGCTTTAGGACAACACATGGATCAAGAGCATCTGTTTGCACATGCCTTTGCCTAGAGGGGGTTATTAGCAAAGGAATCTTTTTTTCTGTAATCATGGCAGCGGTTAGCAGAGAATTGTTTCTTAATTGTGGGCTAGGATAACTAGTGGACTATGTTGTTGTTGCTTGAGAGTGTGCCTCGAGGCAATGAAATGGACACCTCTTTTTATAAATACAAGAAAAGCAAAATCAAAACAAGACTTTGTCAGATGCTCACCATGCAAAAACTCTTAAGTAGACAAGATGGCTACTGCCTGGAAGAGACAATACTTGTGACTTTTCTGTGCTTCTCTGTGCTTCCCTGCAATATTGGGGACATGAAGCAATGGCACAAGGCAGAACATACTTTTCCTCTTTTACTTTTACTGCCTTGGAATAAGACTTGCCCCAGGGAGTGGAGACTGTGCTCACCTGTCTCTACTTTGGAGTGGTCCATCCGGTCAGTGACTTTCTCTTGCCTGATCAGGTAGTCTACGATCTGCACTCCAATTGGTGGCTCTGAATGTTCCCACTCCAGTACTACAAGGGTGCTGCTGGGTTCGTGTACCGTGGAAAGTCTCAGCCTGAATGCAGAAAGGAAGAGACATGAAATGGGAACCCAGCTGAGACTTGTGTCAGTCTTTAGCCATCATCTCAACTACCTCATTACAAACTCTTCTTACAATGACTACTCTAGTCTCTGAAGCACTTGTCTCTCTTTCACTAGATACTAAGACTCCCAAAGCCCTAGGTCTATGTTTGGATCTTGTGAATGAATACATAAGTAAATATGCAAAGATCAATGAAGGTCTACATGGTATATTCATTTGGGAACTGGAATCTACTGATAGGTTTCTTTTATATAGTTTAAAACATAAATTCTAGGTTTTCCCTCAAGGAACCCTGAGCAAATATTATGCAATGTGTATGTCAAAGCCCACTGAAGGTGTCACCAAGAGAATATTGCGTCAATAGTAGCGCAGTTAGTTTAAGTTCTATAACCATCAGGCTCTGGCAGGCCCTGCTTCCCCTGACACTTGTTCTGATATGCTCCCCTCTCCAGTCCACCTGCTGACTGAACTTCAGAACAGGCTCTGCGTAGAAGTGATGCTCAAGGGAGAAAGATGGCCACCTGCCACATTCTCTTTGGGGTGATACCCCACGTCTGCTGTTCAGGACCCGATGTCAGTTTCTGTCTGTCCTTTTGGGTGCTTCTGAACCCTGGCTCCTACTTCAGTTCCCAATTTGTCTTTATTTTTAGTTCACAGTCACTTCATTCTCTTCAAGCTGTCTTTTGAACACCTCCCACCTTGTTGTCTTAAACCCCTCTGTGCTGTATAGAGAGTCGGTAATCAATGCTGATGTTCACTGGTGTGGCTCTCCTGCCTGTCCAAGTGTTTTCAGTTTGCTTCCTTGCTCGACTTCTTGTGTGTGGCTCAGGTTTCCTGCTTGCTTCCAAGTCCTCGTTTCTCTCCAGACATCTAGACTGTGAGGGTTTTCCCAGTTTCTGCTCACTCTTGTCCCCCTCTCTCACAATATCCCTAGCATTCACCCACATCCATGTCCTTGGTTCTTCTATGTCAAACAAGTCTGCAAGCCTAGCCTTCCATCTTCTACTCATCTCAAGGCGCTTCTCGTGGTCTCAAGAACCAAAGGACAAGACAGCACAGCTGGAGCACACCAACTGACTTGTAATATCCAGTTTCACCTCAACACCTAGGTTCATACGCTTATTGGTTGGAAGGCTGCGTGTGGGTGTGCACAAACCCACCCCAACCCTTCTTTTGTGCAATTTGATAAGTACCTGAAATGTATGATCATTCATGTGCTAAAACTTTCACATGAAATCAAGAGATGCTGTTTGGGGAATAAGGAGCAGTTTGACTAGTAGGAAAATAATAAGAAACACATGGTCATCTGCTAGCAGCTACTATGAAGGAGTGCATAGTTTGCATATGACATTAGGATGGAATAGACCCAAAACAGTGTGGATATTGACAAATTCATTAATTAGAGTCATATGCAGAATGCTATTTTGAAGAAGAAAAGAACATTAGGAAGCTTAAGTTAGTAACTAAACTTTCTGAGAACTCAGTTTCTGTGAAAATATGAACTAAGGCCAGCTCCTATTGCGAAAGAGAAGAAGTGTGTATGATTTACATGGACTTATGTAAAAGGAGAATACACTTCTATTTCTAACTACCAATCAAAAAATAAGACTTGCATAAAATAAAATAAAAGCTGTTACTGACAGAAGTGATCAGAGCTGACAAGAAAAGCATAGTTTTAATATATATTTCTTGTGTATGATACCTTGATCTTTAGGTATCACTTTTGGTTAATACATGCTTAGAAATGAAATCAGCCTTAAGGTAGCATGGCTGGATCTTGTGTTCCTTGTTTTGACAGTTTCCAGATTACCTTTTTACAGTAGCTATCTTACCTGGTGAATCCATCTAACATTTAGTGACTGATTTGCTTTTTCCTTCCTTCCTTCCTTCCTTCCTTCCTTCCTTCCTTCCTTCCTTCCTTCCTTCCTTCCTGCCTTCCTTCCTCTATTTCTTCTTCCCTTTCTTCCTCCCTCCTTCTTCCCTTCCTTCCTTCATTTCCTTCTTCCTTCCTTCCTTCCTTCCTTCCTTCCTTCCTTCCTTCCTTCCTTCCTTTCTTTTTCTGATTAGGAATTTGTTTTGTCTTGATTTAGGTATTCAAGCTACAACTACAAAGAGCAAGAAAGCAATGGCCAGAATATTCAAAGGCACATACATAAGGAAGAAATTGGCTTGTAGTGATGATTTGTTGGTAAATGTTACCCTCTTTCTTAGTTTTCTTCTCCTTCAATTCTATTTCTTTGATATCTATCCTAACCTTCAGTCATGTCAGAGGCAGCCTCTACCTGTAGATTCCTGCTATGGTCCACTGTTCTATGTAACTAGACCTCTATCTACTGCAGGTCTTAATTCTCACTTTGGGCCTTCCTAGCCCAAATGAATCCATGGGAACATCTTCCACTGCCCTGTCCTACCAGTACTATGTCACGGAAATAAGATTGTGTTCCTCATCCCTGTGGAAGACCTGAATTCCAACACGTGCCAGTTATGTTTAAATGTCTTATGAGGGGTTAGGAATTTAGACATGTTCGTTCTCAGTCAGCTTTGCAGAAGCCCATGTAGCCCTTCAGTGCAGACATTCCCTCCTGTCTGTCCCAGGCCTTCAGTGTGTGTGCTTACAGACCACCCTTCCTCCCAGCTATGACTCCATCCACCATTTTTCTGAGATTGGTTGGAATATTGTTATCTCTAGGTTTTAGTTTTTTGTTTTTTTTTTTTTTTTTAATTTTTTCACAGAGTTCTACCTGTCCCCTTGCCTACCAAATATCTATACAATTATCCCTTAATAGCTCACAGGCAAGTCCTCTTTCTCCTCAACTCTGCATACCTCCCAATGGGTCCTTTCTCAACCATGGCTCACCCCCAGAGTTAAACAGTCTCCATGCCCTGTTGCTTTTAACTCAAAATCATTTCTGTTTTATTTTCTCTCGTATCATCCCGGTTGCTCTCAGCCGTGAGCTGCTTCCTGCTCTATCACTTGGGAAAAATTCCAGCCTGTTGAAGTCAGTTCCTTGTCTAGTAATTGAAGGTGTGGCAATAAGAGTGCTTACTTGCCTGGCACCCAGGAAGTCACTGAGAAGCGGTAGCGTTGTTGGTCTTGTTCTGCCCTCCCTGTCGATCTCTAACTTTCTCCATAGCAACAGTACTGCTACTCACATGATCTTCTACCCATGCTGTCTTACCTTGTCCTCTGTATGGGAGAAGTTTAATTGCTACTTGCTCCATAAAGTCTTTATCATTGCCCAAATGCAGGCTCAAAGAACAGCTCTTCACACTACTTCCTGTAAACAGCTTGTGTGCCTGCTCCTTCTATCATACTGAAAGTTCCCGATGGCAGGAACTGTGCCACGTTTTTCTTTCTGATTCCCAGCACTCAGCTGGTTACTTTGAGACTAGCATCTGCTTGCTCCTTCTTTTGCATAATGGTGCTGAAGGCATGCATGAAGGGGAGGGGCATGGGGAGGGAGCCATACACGGGCTGTGGGAGGGGCGCACAGGTAGGAAGTCCATCCGCTCCAAAAGCAGTTGAATCACATCGACACCAGTCCTCAATGACATCGCCAGTCCCTGAACACCAGAGAGAGCTCATGGTGGCCTCCTGTAAGAGCTGAACAACAACAACAAAGCAAAGAGTAAGTGTTAAGAAACCAAGGCTGGATGTTCATTATCAGACCTAGCATCAGGGTCCTATGTGGTCCTAAGTCACCTTCAGAGAAAGGGTGCCATTCTCCAGTTTGTAACCATGTCCCAGAAAATGGAATATGGGTGTAACCTCAGCCCTAGAGGAGGACATCTGGGGTGTCCTACAGTTAGGAGTTCTCACCTTATAAACTGAGTGCGGTGACACATGCCTGTAACCTCAGCATTTGAAGGCAGGAGGATCAGAGGTTAGAAGTCAGTTAGATATAAGTTTGAGACCTCTCCTGGCTAGAAATGCTGTCTCAGTAATTAATAATAAGTAAGTAAGTAAGTAAGTAAGTAAGTAAGTAAGTAAATAAATAAATAAATAAATAAATACGAGATTTCACTTTGAAAGAAAGTCAGTTTCCACTACTGCCACACACACACACCCCAACTGTACTCTAAAACAGCTCATTCTGTGGGCTCTCGTAACAATGACTTCTTCACCACACATCTCTGCCTGGCCTGTCTTTGCTATACTTCCTTCCACCCAGAGGCACGTTGCCCTTCGTCAAATGCCTCTCTGAATCCATACCTGCCCTGTTCATCCTGCCCTAGTCCCTCATGGCCCCTCAGCCTGTTTTGTGATCCACTTTAAATATGTACAGGGTTCTGTGTTGGGGTGCGATTAGGTGTCCGGCATCTTTCTTAGACTGTGGTAGGAGAAGCTGTGGGCTATAAAGCCTGAATTCTGCATCTACATCAGTCTTCTGTGGCTGGGAACCTTGGCTCTGTCAATCAGTGCCTGTGACCTTAGAGAATCTACATAAACCCACTTTCTTTCTTCTGACAAAAATATCACTTTCCTAATAGGGATGTTATGACAATTAAGTGAAACAATCTATGCCAGCGAGAGAATTATGCGTCACACCGATACACGTTATTGTTTTTGAATGACAGTGTTGAACCTGACATAGAACCTTATAAAAATTACAGTCTTGCATAGTTCTTCACATGAAGTAATTTCATAGAGATGTTTGCTGTGGAATAAAAGAACCAAAGATAAATTCAGACCTAAGAGGCAAGAGCATTTATGACAGGGGCAATTCTCTGGCAAATGAGCAGATCCCGTGAGTGAGGGCCTCTCACAGTGCTCTCGCTCCCTCAACTCAGATAGCCTAAGGGTGAGGGTTCCAGGCCATCTTAAGTTCAGAGCTGTGTCTCTGGGGCCTTGACAGCTTCAGCCTGGGTTTTCTAATGATTTTCTCTCCTCTGTTCTTTTGCCAGCTTGTCCACACTGGTAAGTTAGGGAAAGGGGAGACAGCTGTCCTGTAGCAGTTCAGTCTCTAAATCACAAGGAAAAAGAAGGAAATGCAGAAAGGAAATAGAGGGACAGCGGAAGAGAAGAAAGGGGAGGGGAAAAGAGATATCACTCCACAAATAGAAATAGTTATGATTTGTGTAGTGTTTTTCTAGTTCATAAGGCCCTTTTAGATACTAACTCTTGGGTAGATGGCAATAATATCTTACAGTAAAGAACTCTGAGAGTGACAGATAGGTACTTGCCCAGGGTCATAGGCTAGTGAATGAGGCAGTGGAGGGACAGGGCCCTGCCTGGCTTACTGGACTCAGGCTCCTCCCAATACGTGCTCTTAATGAACACTGAGTCCACCAGCAAGCTACTCACCTCATGCTTTTCTGACTGAAGTTCAAATCAAAAGGTGAACTTTTTAAAACTGGGAAGACAGACTCTTTGAGACAGACAGAATAAAAGCGGGGTTGTGCCTGCCGTTTGATGCAGTCCCCAGCCAATGACTGTTCGCTAACCTCCTATAAGGGGCCATTTCCTGTGCTAAGCATGGAGGATGCAATGACGCAAAAGAAGACACATATGGCCCCTGCCTGCATAAATGTTGCAGCTAGAGAATAAACAAGCAAACTGGAATCATGTAACCACTCAAAGCCCACAATTGTGTTGCGGGATCCAAAGGAAAAGGTGAGGCACTATGGGGTGCACGCAGCAGCAGGAAGCCGCAAGGAGTATTCAGCTGCAAACACGAATGAAATCCTCTATTTGGGGGGCACTGGAGGACAGGTTGAGATAAATAAGAGATGAAAATATAGTCTATGGCAGTAGCATATACTTCTCCGGTATATGGAAGGGATAGAAAGAAATGACCTGAAAAATAAAAGAGAAAGTGTTAAGTAAAGGGAAAGGAGCAAAGATGGGGAGGAAGGGAAGAAAGGGCAGAAGGGAGCCTGAATGTGATCTAAATACAAATTGAATTGTATTTGCACATATTAATGATTTTACTTTTCAAACTTATCTGGTCACAAAAATTCTGGTAATATAGGTATAAAGTCTAACGTTAAGAAGACTGGGCCCTTAATGAATCTAGACTTCTAAAATCAACTAGCAATATCAATCTGTCTTTAAGAGATACAGGACAAAGGAGTTCTTTGCGGTTTGGTGGGGAGGTAAGGCTGGATTACACTTTGAAATTTAAAACATGGAACATGATCAGATTTTTAATAAAAAAGTATGGCGAGGCACACATGATATAATTCTTTTAAATGCCATTTCTTCAAAAGTTTCAACTCCCAACCTATTATATGCACCACTCAATGAGAGTTTCTATTGCCTGAATCCTGGGCCGCATCTATCTGCAACAGGTTGGTTGGATGAGGATCTGTTAAAGTTTGGATATTAAGTATCCTCTTCCAAAGGCCCTGTGCTGGAGGCTTGATCCAAGATGCTTATACTACTGAGAGGGGTTGGAAGACACTGTTCCATCGCCGTATTAGTACACTGGCTGATACATAACTTAATGGGCAGATATTAGGAAGACACAAGTCACCAAAATTTGCTTTTGAAGGTTACATATCAGTCTTGGAATATCTTCTTTGAATTCTCTTTGCTCTTCGGTTACGATGAGGTGAAAAGGCCCCTCTGCCACACACCCCTGTCATGACCTTCTGTCTCAGCACAGGCCTGTAGCAGTGTGGCCAGGCAACCATGCACCAAAATTGGAGGAACTGTTATATTTCTTCTTTTTAAGTTGATTATGTCAGGAATGAAAAGCTGACTAATACACAGTAGAAAAGAAGAATCAAAGTGAAGCCCTTTTGAGAAGGAAGAGAAAGGGAAAATTCCACTTTCTTTTGTACCAATAATTTGCCCTCCACTGTACTTTCTGGGGAATTAATACTTGTTAACAGATTGAGTGGAGTATAGAGAAAAACAAACAAATAAACCAATGTTGGCTAGTGTTTTTCTTAAACAAGAAAAATCTGAATTTCTAGCTTGGGTTTATCAACCGAAGATTTTTTTTTTTTCATTAATTCATCAATTCATTTGTTTGTTTAGCAGAACATCAGCTCTGCATCAACCCAGGCATTCTGGAGAACACAAAGAGTTTCTCTAGTCTAGAGTGAAGTTAACAACCGAACAGCGAGTATGAGCATAGGGGATGCATGCTTTAGGGTGTGTACATGTGCGGTGGGGCCTCTGTGAAGCAGTCCGAGTTGGACTGACAGCCTGAAGGAGGAGACTTTGGGAACCAGTGATGCTGGAGCTGAAACATGGCAGGATAGTTGGAGTTTTCCAGCGACAGAAGTGGGATGGAGCAGGTTATTGGGACATAGGCTTGGAAGACTGGCAGACTGGATCCATTAAATAGGATGTGTTGTGTTTGAGGAGGCACGGAAAACTAAATTCTGGAGTACAGAGTACTAACATCCTAATGATTTAAGTGATGACAGATAGGATCATGAACAGCTTTGTAATGGTGTGCTAAAGACTGTAAATTGCATTTAGTCTGAAGAACCATTAAATTACCCTAATGCCAATATGGCCAGAGGACCATATTGTGCAATAAGTCCAGGTGTTTTAAGGCAAGGACCAACAAGAAGATTGCTGCAATAAAATGTTTGCTATTACAGTGCAGAGTTAGGCTGTGATGGGGGTCTCAGACAAGAAAATAGATACAGGGTGTGCCCTTTGCTCTTGGTGATGAAAGTACTGGGGATGACAGGGACACTGTGTCCTTGAATGAAATGGGGACACAAGTGGTATCTATTTGCAATATGAGGTAGTGAGCTAAGTTTGTTGGGTTGTTTAAGTGGTTTAACCTATTTGTTTATTTTAATCATAAATTTAATTGAAGTCTGACATCAGAGATTATCTAGTCCAACACAAGGACAATAGATCAAAGAGGATAGATAGAAAATGAACCCATGCATTGGAGGGGAAGATTAAAACCCACATGGATTTATCAGTGTCATGCTGAGCCACCCCTCCTAAGCCTCTATACCCCTTGCCTATATTCTCTGACAGAAAGTAAAAGTTAGAAAGAAAAACAGTTACAGAGAGGGTGACGTTGGAATACGTCAGGCAAAGAAAAGAGGAGAATCTCCTGATAGCGATCAAATTCCATTTTAGACTAGCTTGTCTGCATTTAGAAACTGAAGGGTCTAACATGGGGCCAGATGGGCAGGGTTTTCCCCACCCCTCTGTGAAAACTGGTGCAGGGAAAATGGAAAGTTGTTTGGCAAGCGCAGGATCCAGAGAGGGGCTTCTGGAGTTGAACTTCCTTAGTCATCGTGGTTTTGATCAACAGCCCCCAAGTTCTTTGTCTTTCACTGAGCTGTTCTCTGTTCTTTAGCTTGGGGTGTTCTAATTCACAGGATGGCCCAACTGAGCTCTCAGGCACCACTCTACGCAGACAGGTGACACAGGGAGTGTTTGGTTATCAGCTGCAGGAACGTGAGGGGGCACAATCTTAGACGTACAAGGGTAAGGCAGCCACTTTGTTAACAACACCACACCTTTGGGTGTCCAGTGAGACAAGCCCTTCTTCTTGGTTCAGGTCCCTTTCTCCCAATCTTAGTCCCATGACCATCTCTTTCAGATTCAGGATGAATCTGGAGGCCAGCAGGAACCGTTTATCTTTTTGTTCCTGTGGGGGTAAAGACTGTATTTTCAGACACTCGTTGAAATATCCCTGGAAGAGGTGGGTAGGTGAGAGAAACACACATGCAAAATCCCTCCTGTGGGTCTGAGCAACACCTATGAAACCAACTGTGACACAGCAGGTGTCTCTTCAAGAGAAAAAAGCAAGCAATTATCACCCCACCTGAATGGGCGTCCCTGACAGTCAGGTAAGTAGCTCAGCACTTGCCTCACAGATAGTCTTAGAAGCCTCTCACTTGGAGCCTCTGTATTTAGACTTAGGAGTGACTGGTGTCTTTGTGTGTGTGTGTGTGTGTGTGTGTGTGTGTGTGTGTGTGTGTGCACTCGAGAGCGCGAGCCTATTCTAGTCTGTACACGGAAGAAAGTTAGTCTCCGCTCCACCCATTCCGGCCCCTGCTCCTTAGGCGTTCACTCATTTCCCCCTAAGATCTTTAGGAACAGAGAGGTAAAGAAAGAAGGATTGGTTGGAAAATGTCATGACCTTCTAGCATAATAAAACACGGAAAGAGCAGCATAGATGTGGTGTTTTTGTCCTGAAAGCCTGTGATAATTAGGAGATCAGACCCTTCCAGGTTGAGGCTGCTAGGTCCTTCCACTGGGACCTGTATTTGGTATGCCTTTTCTAGCAAGGTGCAGCTGGTTCTAGACTGAAAGAAATCAGTTAGGGGAGCCTGTCCACCTCCTCCAAGGGGGAGACAGAGACGAGTGTCCTTCCAAATGGAAAAGGTACTAAAATGGCTGTGGTGATTGCAAACCATGTGCTTGATTTGGTTTGACTTACTATGAAAACATGCGAATCTAAACAAAGTAGGTGCCACTCTTAGCTGAACGAAAAGATCCTCTGTCTGGACTGGCATGTGGAGCAAGCCCTCTGTTTTTGGCACCTCCCAGAGCCAACTATCTTGGCACTCTTACCCTCTGGGTCTGGTTATTGGTCACCAGTTCATAGATGGGAGACGCTCTGGTCACTTCCAGCAGAACTGGCTCAGCAGGGGTTTCAGGGTTGGACGTCACATGACACAGAGGACAAGATGAGGGACATCGCCCCTTGCTCTGGCACTCCATTCGGACTCCAGCCGCCATACGCTTGGTGCCAGAGTCTGACAGGCTAGCGATGTATTCTGGGAATGTCAGCATCTTGGGGTCTCTTTCCCGCTCCTCCGACTCATCAGATGGGGAGTTGCCTGCCAGATGAAAGAAAAAGAAGCAGTGAGGAAGGCATGACAGCAAGGACTGCCATGACTGGATGGCTCCTGAGTTCTGAGGTCTGGCCTCGCGCAGGAGGAAAGTGCCACGAGGGAATAAGATTGTGACTCTGCCATTCCACTTAATTAGGGCACACATCTTCCCAGTGTGACATGCAGAGTCGGAAATGGCATTTCAAGGAGGAGAGCAGGTTGTTTCTTTTCTGAGAATCACTGGCTCCACTGGTCCACTCAGAGAGACGTGTCTGCAGAATGCCCGTTGCCAAGAATGCAGATGATAACAACAGTCATCGTTCTATGTCTTGGCTTCTTTATTACAGGATGAATGAACAACAAAATGATTTGAACTCACACATATGGTTTCTAACATGCATGAAGAAGCACTTATCATCACAATCTTGGTCATGATTACAACTGGAACTTATGGAGCGTTCCTATGATATCGGGGTTGATTCACGAACTCCTTTTAGCATTATATTACCCTTGCAAAAGTTTATCCTTCTACCCATTTCTACATATCAGGAAAGAACAATATGATCAAGGTCACAAAGGTAGCGTAGGGTGAGAGTTGGTTTTTGAACCCAGCACTATCTGAGTCCAAAGTACTTAGGCCACCGAGCAAAAACAGCCTTTCTGAGCTGTATAAAATTAACTCATGTGCTGTGAATGCAGAGAGAAGTTTGACTTTTTTTTTTTTTCATAAAGATTTTTCACTGTTGTTTGCCATTTAGAAGTCAGCTACACACACTCTTGATCTATTTCTGGTGATAAACATGAAAAGTGCCTAGCAGAGAATAATGGTTTGTTCCCCCCCCACACACACACACACATAAGAAAACAGCACTTGCTCTTTCTTCCTTCAGTCTTCATGGTTATCCATTTAACTCATTATCTATAAAGGAGTCTGTGGACAGAACCCTCCAGATTTTTTAAGCTCTTTCTGACAGCTGGTGTCCCGGGCAGGAAATGATTTTGGAGAGACGGTGGCTACGCGGAATGTTCTTGCCTCCAGTGGATGCGCTAAGGATGTGGTACTTGATGGGCACAGCGTGAACTGGTTGAAAGGCTTCGCAAAGTAGCTCCAGGAGGCGACTGAGAGAGAAGACTCACCGACTTAGAAAAACAAAAGCTCTTCCCTCTGGGGTGGGGTGGGGGGGCACTCCCTGTCCCCTCTCATTTGCTGTGTAACGTGGGTTTATTTGGGAACGTGGTGAGGTTCCCAGGGCTTTTGATTCCCCAAGCGACGGCGTGGTTATGTGGCCGAGCCACTTTTACCTCGCCACTCTTGACCTGGGCCTCCTCCTGTATGTGAAGGCAAAGGGCACAGTCGGTGACTGCGGAAAACAGTGTCTTTAACATCTGCATTTCATTTAATCAGAGATCCAGGGTTGAGCTCCGGTCACCCCTCCCCCATGGTAGAACTGAACAACTACATGTGTACACACCCCCAAAATCAAGGATGATGATGTCAAATAGAGCCCAGACTGATCGCTCTGCACGTAGGCTCACCTCTTCTGCAGCCCAGTCACGGTTCTCATGTACTGTATCTCAGGCTGAGAGTGGACTCCCAGCAGTCTTTGAAAGGACCACAGACTAGGCAAAACTTTCTGCTCCCCATTTTTGATCCGACCTCCTGTCTTCTTCAGACTGCTGAGTGACTAAGAGAAAGCACCAGAGGTGGAGGAAGGCCTTCGGGAAGTATCTGGGATCTTCAAGTTTTGATGATGTTGAAATTCTTTTTCTCTTTGGCTCCGCATCACATTATCATCAGGTCCATTTCCATAGGACGCCAAATCCCGTCTTTGTTGAGAACCCATTCTGTACACTTGCAATCTACAATACGACCACTAGATGGAGACAGTGGATCTAAAATGACTACCTTCTGCTCTGTGGGACGACACCGGGGAAAATGAATCTTCTGAACCCTAAGTATGGTGTGAGCATCTCAACATTCTAATGGATCTTTTTCCCTAACGTACAACACACTTAGAAGTAAGACAATTGCAAATTATACCTCACATCTTCACGAGAAAAAGAAGAGAAACAGGCGATAATGACAGGACAATTGAAAGAAAACTCACAAGGAAAAAAAAAATTACTTAAAAGAATCCTCTCCCAACATTCTAAAATTCGAGTAAAAGTTAGTACAAAAGGGAAGTAATAAGCCAACACATTTCTTTTCTCTCGCCATTAAGCAAACTTGCCCGAGTCACTAGCTAGATGAATTTACGGAAATACACCACCAGGGGGCCCTGTAACGTGACCGGCCTGTATGGCCTTCATGTCTCTGCCCTTGAGCTTGCCATCCGTAAAGATTGCAATTGCTGTAAACACGTAGGGCTGCACCCCTTGTTGCTGTCTTCTGGCAATGCCAATTAAAATCAAGGTGCAGTTAATCTCTGTCAATAGCTGTCCACCGTCCATACTTGGCAAGATTGGAGAATACAGGATGGCTGAGAAATGCACGTGCGAAACGATGGTGTGTGCCACCAAATGTTCCTGTGTTGCTTCTTTCTTCAGGACCTTATCCTCCATCTTGCCCTCCTCCCCCAAAGCAGGTCCACATACAAGGTCCCTGCTGGAAGCCAAGGCCAGTGTACCTTGCTGGCCCCATGCTTACATGAGATGAAGCTGTCTAAAAGAGCCTGGATTTATACAGAGCAATGAAACAGTGAGTTCCCCAAAGCCATCTATTCAGTCTCCAGCCAAGAATAGACATGTGTGCGAGAGAGATTTTTCAAAGAGGAAATGCATTTTCTATGTGCAGTTAAAGATACAATTGGGAAATACTCTTTAAAATGATGGAGTCCATTGATGAAAGCCCACATAAATCTCTCTTACCCCAAAGGGAGTGCCACCATTCGCTGCTAGTGAATGACTAGCTCAGAACCAAAACTCTCCGGGAGCGTCTGCTCTTTGCTGGTGGAAAGGTGGGAAGAGGGAAAGGCACTTTATCTCTTAGGACCCAGCGGTTTCCTCTTTCTCCTGCCTGCTCCTGGCACAGTCCTCGGCATGTCTCTCCATGCTCTGGCACCTAAGCAGAGATGCCCTGGAATCTGAAGCACTGTGATAATACTTAGGAAAAGAGATGTAGAGCACTATCTACTTTAGTAGATGTACAGTCTTTGAACAAACGAAACAATCTACAGTGAGGGATTGTCGTAATTGGCAAGTGTGCCCTCTGACATAGAAGACCTGTGTGGTCCCTCCCCACAGGTTTTGCAGAATCCACCCTCTTCTCGGGGAGGTCCTCATGTCTGGCCGTGATGCTTCGCTTGCTTGCAAGTAGAGGAATCTTCAACCTGGAATGTAGTTAACGACCCTAAAACTGAAAAGCATTTTGCAAATACAGTTTGCTATAAATAAGTGCCATTTGCTTTAGGCTATATCTGCATCCTCCAGCACACAGTGGATAAGTTTCCCCAGTAGAATATCATGGCATGAGAATATTGGCATCCTTAATGCTCAGGATCTCACTGCGTATGTGCCCATGGCCTTAGGCATGTACATATCGGTCCACGTAAATCCAGGGGCACATTAGGATGATGAAAGTGACCAAGCCCATTCTCATGCAGGTTCTGCTCTGCCTGTGTGAACCGACAGATCACAAAGGTGAATTACTTGTTATGAAGTAAATTGGTACAATTCCTGTAGGATTCTGAGGACTGCTTAAAAATCTCTCTCCTGAACTGGCGCCCAAGGCAATGGGATGCTAATGACATCACAGCTAGAACTACACGGGCAGTTCATTAGGCAGCAAAGAAATCAAATGCAAACTAATCAGATCACAGCTTTGGGGGATAGCATCGGATACAGCAAAAGAAGGTTGACATGGTCAAATAAAGCGTAGCCCAGTAAGAGGTACTGGAAGACTGCCCACCCACAGCCAGTATGCCAGGACTCACCCCAACTTTTACCTCTATCTGTTGTGTGAGCCACGATTCCAAAGTTATCTGATGCACATCTCCCTCATCTCACAGCTTCCAAGTAGAAGAATCGACCTGGAATGCCATTAACAACCCTAAAATAGGTTCCAGTCAGTCTCTTCAAGTGTTTCATATCTTTGGAAAGAGTTTGAAGTCAGTTGGGACTTGAATTGAATCCTTAGTCACATCATGATCACATATTCTCTGAGATTCAAGTCAAACGTTGAGCTTAAAGAGTAGAAGCAAAGCATTTGCCAAACAGTTCTCCTGTCTTTTACTAAGTCCCCCAAGAATCAAGTAGAAGATGCAAACAATTATTATGGTGGCAGCTGACTCTGTGACTTCTAGCCAAGCTCTCTTTCACAAGCAGCAAAGACTTAGGTGACTGCGAGGAGATTCACTTATACAGGTTACATGACCTCATTACCGAAGGTTCCCCTAATTGTGCTCACAATCTTCTCTACACCCTCTTGGCAGCCTCTTCCTCCCCTTGCACATCTCAGCTCAGCAGGATGACAGCGGATTCCCCAATTGCTGAAGCAGCACAACTCAAATCCCCTAAACTTCCTTTAATATTAAATTACACTCGCCCCCCAACCCATATCTTTTCGTCCATCCAAGGGAATTAATTAACAGATTAAAATCTATTCCTTGGATTGACTGAACAGTGTTTGTTTGTTTTTTCTTTATCTCTTGTCAGATGAATGATTCGGGGCAGGTTCCATAACCTTCCAGCATCTACAGTTCCTTGTATACAAACGAGACATGTCTAGACCAATTGATTGATCAGAAGAACCTACAACGCAACTGAGTGAAGTGACACATGCCTATAACCCCAGCATTTGGGAGGCAGAGGCAGGAGGATCAGAAATTCAGAGTCATTCTTGGCCACACAATGAGTTCAGGAACCTGGTTCAAAAACTAAAGCAAGAACAAGCCAGTCTTCAAACCACAGTGTTAGTCTTGAGCAGCCCTTAGGACACAGTGAGTGTACTCTCAGTTTACTTCCTCTGACCCTGCTTGTCCACTTCCCCTTCTCTGCCTGCTACCAGC